AGATAGAAAGATCTTCTATCCACTGGCTTCCTCCCCAGATGACCACAAAGGCCAGCACTGGGCCAGGTGAAAGCCAGGAGCTAGGAGTTTCTCCAGAGTCTCCCACATGGGTAGCAGAGGCCCAAGCACTTGAGCCACCCTCTGCTGCTTTCCCAGGTCCTTAGAAGGGAGCTGGATTGAAAGTGGAACAGCTGAGACATGAACCGGTACCCATATGGAATGCTGGCGTTGCAGGCGGTGGCTTTACCTACTGTACCACAACTCCAGCCCCAAAATAGACATTTTTTTAAGATAGAAAGTAAAGTGTAGGCTTCTCATTGTTTATCTTTTAGATGTTTGGAAAAGAATTAAATAGCAAATATAGTTTGTAAATGTTTGCCTGCTATATAAGCTATTGTTGATTTCCAAGTTTCAATCTGGTAACCAGTACCAGCCTAGGTTTTCATTGATCTAAGGCAAAAACTAGAGACAATATTGTCTTTCTAGCCATCTGGTATAATTGTCATTCTTAAAAAGGACTACCTTTATGTTGCTATTTTCATGAAACTTTGGGACTATAAAATGTTTTTTCTTTTGAGACTGGCTTTGTGACACAATAGGTTAAGCTGATACCTGCAATACCAGTATCCCATTTGAGCACTGGTTCAAGTCCCAACTGTTCCACTTCCAATGCAGCTCCCCGCTAATGTACCTAGGAAAGCTGCAGAAGATGACTCAAGTACTTGAGCCCCTTCCACCCATGTGGGAGACCTGGATGGAGTTCCAGGCCTCTGACTTCAGCCTGGCCCAGTCCTAGCCACTGCGGCTATTTAGGGAGTGAACCAGCACACAGATCTCTCCTTTTCCCTCTGTCACTCTGCCTTTCAAGTAAATAAATCTTTGGAAAAAAATGTTTTTTCTTTTAAGATTTTGTGGTGAGAAAGGAACAAAATAAAGAATTAGCAACCCTATTTTGGTCCCTCACCCTTCTCTTTCTTTTTTTTTATTTTATTTTATTTTTTAATTAATTTATTTTTTTGAAAGTCAGAATTACACAGAGAGAAGGAGAGGCAGAGACAGAGAGAGAGGTCTTCCATCCAATGGTTCACTCCCCAGATAGCCACAATGGCAGGAACTGCACCGATCCGAAGCTGGGAGCCTCCTCTGGGTCTCCCACGTGGGTGTAGGAGCCCAAGGAATTGGGCCATCTTCTACTGCTTTCCCAGGTCATAGCAGAGAGCTGGATGGGAAGCGGAGCAACCAGGACTCGAACCGGTGCCCATATGGGATGCCGGCACTACAGGCAGCGGCTTAACCAACTACGCCACAGTGCCGGCCCCTCTTTTTTTTTTTTTTTTTTTAAGGTTTTTATTTATTTATTTGAAAGGTAGAGTTACAGAGAGGAAGAAGCAGAGGCAGTGAGGGAAGGGAGAGAGAGAGAGAAAGAGAGTGAGAGAGTGAGAGTGAGAGAGAGAGAGAGAGAGTCTTCCATCCATTGGTTCATTCCCCAAATGGCTGCAATGGCCAGGGCTGGGCCAGCTGGAAGCCATGTGGAAGCCAGGAGCCAGTAGCTTCATCTGGGTCTCCTATGTGGGTGAGGGCCCAGGCACTTGTACCATCTTCCACTGCTTTCCCAGGCGCATTAGCAGGGAGCTAGATCAGAAGTAGAGCAGCCAGTACGAGAAGCAGCGCCCATATGAGATGCCAGCACTGCAGGCAGCTGCTTAACCAGCTAAGCCACAGCACCGGCCCCACCTTTCTCTTTCTTAACACTTGTTGGTGAAATCAAAAAATGTAGGAAGTATTGCAGGAAAACAATAATATATGAGAGTTGTAGATCTAAACCAGTCACTGGCTGAAAGAATAAAGCTAAACAGACTAGAAAGAAGGTTTGTAACTGTACAAGTGGTTTTGTTTTTGTTTGTATTTTTCTAATTTTTTTTTGCAGTTGAGTTTTCTCTAAAAAATCATATCCCATTTGATAAACTAAGTAAATGTAGTTAAATTGACTTCAAAACATGAGGAATTTTTCAAATTGTTCTGTGATTAAGGGTAAAGGCTGGAATGTCTTTATCACTGTAATTTGTTATTGAGTTAAAATGACTTGACAGTTCTTTGTTAAAATGTAGCAAAATAATAACCCACTATAGTAGGAAAGTATTATTCTTGTCATACTGCCGGGCATAAATTTCTATGCATTTTTGACTTGTAAAATGGATAAAATAGTACCACATGTTTTCTGTTATTTGTGGAAATTAAAATGTACAGTCTAAAACTTGTGTGGATGTTGTATTATTGGATATGTGGTTACAAACATTGCTGCGCTGAATTATACCATGTGCGTGGCAAGCTACTCTTCCGTCCCCTTTATGATCACTTTTGACCACTGTCATGAAACCCACATTCTGTGATATTAATATCTGTTTTTTAAAAAATAGTATATATGTGTAGAATATAAGTGAAGTGAATATGGTAAAATATTACCAATTTTTTAAATCTTAAAAAATTAAAAATTTTGAGGGTCGTCACTGTGGTATAGTAGGTTAAGCCTCCACCTGCAGCACCAACATCTCATATGGATGCTGATTTGACTCCCAGTTGTTCCTTTTCTGATCCAGCTCTCTGCTTATGGCCTGGGATAGCAGTAGAAGATGGCCCAAGTACTTGGGCACTTGCACCCACATGGGGGACCCGGAGGAAGCTCCTGGTTCCTGTCTTCAGATGGGCCCAGCTCAGGGGAGTGAGCCAACAGATGGAAGATCTTTCTCTCTGTCTCTCCCTCTCTCTATAACTCTGGCTCTCAAATAAATAAAATCTTTAAAACAAAACAGCAGCCTCTGAACCTCTAGGACTTGAGGTGTCATATAAGTCATAATACCTGCATGGAAGATGGTTGTGGGAAGTCAGCGAGATACTGTTCTATAGCAAAGTGCTTGGCCACAGTAACAATGAGCAAATGAAGGCTATCAAATAGGGGCCGGCGCCACAGCTCACTAGGCTAATCCTTCACCTTGTGGCGCCGGCACACCAGGTTCTGGTCCCGGTCAGGGCGCCGGATTCTGTCCCGGTTGCCCCTCCTCCAGGCCAGCTCTCTGCTGTGGCCAGGGAGTGCAGTGGAGGATGGCCCAAGTGCTTGGGCCCTGCACCCCATGGGAGACCAGGATAAGTACCTGGCTCCTGCCATCAGATCAGCGCAGTGCGCCGGCCGCAGCGCTGGCCGTGACAGCCATTGGAGGGTGAACCAACGGCAAAGGAAGACCTTTCTCTCTGTCTCTCTCTCTCTCACTGTCCACTCTGCCTGTCAAAAAAAAAACAAAAAACAAAAAAACATTAAATCATAGGGTCCGGCGTCGTGGCTCACTAGGTCAATTCTCCGACTGCAGCACTGGCATCCCATATGGGTGCTGGGTTCTAGTCCTGGTTGCTGCTCTTCCAGTCGAGCTCTCTGCTATGGCCCAGGAAGGCAGTAGAGGATGGCCCAGGTGCTTGGGTCCCTGCACCTGCACCTGCATGGGAGGAAGCACCTGGCTCCTGGCTTCGGATCAGTGCAGCGCCGGCTGTAGTGGCCATTTGGGGGATGAACCAACAGAAGGAAGACCTTTCTCTCTGTCTCTCTCTCTCTCACTGTCTAACTCTATCTGTCAAAAAAAAAAAAAAATTAAATCGTAAGGGCCGGCACTGTGGCACAGCAGGTTAAAGCCCCAGCCTGCAGTGCTGGCATCCCATATGGGCACCGGTTCGAGTCCTGGCTGCTCCACTTTCAATCCAGCTCTCTGCTATGGCCTGGGAAAGCAATAGAAGATGGCCCAACTTCTTGGGTCCCTGTACCCACGTGGTTAGACCTGGAAGAAGCTCCTAACTCCTAGCTCCTGGCTTCTGATCAGCTCAGCTCTGGCTATTGCAGTCATTTGGAGTGAACCAGTGGAATAGAAGACCTCTCTTTCTCTGGCTCTACCTTTCTCTGTAACTCTGTCTTTCAAGTAAATAAATCTTTTTTTAAAAAATTAAATTGTGAAAACATCAATTCTAAATCACACAAACACAAAGTGCTGCTATTCATCAGGGGTGAAATTTTTTTTAAGATGTATTTATTAGGGCTGGCGCTTTGGCGTAGCAGATAAAGCCGCTGCCTGTAGTACTGGCATCCCATATAGGCACTGGTTCGAGTCCCAGCTGCTCCACTTCTGATGCAGCTCTCTGCTATGGCCTGGGAAATCAGTAGGAGATGGCCCAAGCCATTGGGCCCCTGAACCCACATGGGAAACCCAGAAGAAGCTCCTGGCTCCTGGCTTCAGATTGGCACAGTTATGGCCGTTGTAGCCATCTGGGGATGGCTAGGGAGTGAACCAGCAGATGGAAGACCTCTCTCTGCCTCTCCTTCTCTCTCTGTGTAACTCTGACTTTCAAATAAATAAATCTTAAAAAAAAGAAAAAGATGTATTTATTTCTGAAAGAGTTTGGGGCTGATGTTGCAGGGTGGCGGCCTTACAGCTCCAACCATTGCATCCCGCTTCTATCTGCTGGTTCACTCTCCAGATGGCCACAATGCCCAGCACTGGGCCAGGTGGAAGCCAGGAGCTTCATCCAGGTCTCCCACATGGATGGCAGGGGCCCAAACATTTGGGCCACCCTCCACTTCTTTTCCTAGGCCGTCAGCAGGGAGCTGAACCTGAAATGGGGCAACTGGGACTTGAACTGGTACCCATATGGGGTGCCAGCATCTCAAGCAGTGGCTTAACCTGCTGTACCACAGTGCTGGCCCCGGGATTTAAATTTTTAAAACAGTCAGATGATGAATAGCTTTCAAAGGAAAAATGCACGTGTTATCAAAGTCGCAGTAAATCTCTCACCACATACAAAGCAAGCAAATGACACTAATTCAGCCCCTGGCTTTGGGTGCACAGCCTGGGATGGATCATGATGCAGGGTGTGCTCCTGCTACAGTGACATCAAGTGTTCGTTCGCTTGCCTGGAAGCTACATGTGAATTTTTGAAGTGACTATTTTTGAAATTTTGTAAAGATTGCTCAAATATAGAGTTCTTTTTTCTTTATTTTTTTTCTTTGCAGCCAAAGAAGCCCAAAGCCCCAGACAATCCATTTCACGGCCTTGTTTCCAAGTGTTTTGAGCCTCATCTCTATGTGTACATCGAGTCCCAAGACAAGTGAGTGGTGTACATTTTTCTGTCTTTTGCCTGCGTTTTTCACCCCTCTGATCTTGGCAGGGTCTTACAAGGGCACAACTGTTTCCAGAAGCTGGAGGAGGGACTTGGCGCGCCTGCAGCCCTCTCTGGAAACCCATTTAGGGTATTTTTACATCTCTTCAATGTTATTTATTGTGTCTGTAAATCTCAGGAGCCCGAGTTTGACTCTAATAAGGCCCTATACGGATCCCCACACTTCCCCTTGTTTGCATTTTGGTGTTGAGCCCTGGTGTACGTCAGCCCAGAAGGCCTTACAGCATTAGGTACTCAACACGGTAAGAATGCCTAATCTCTGATGTATATGTTTTCAAGTATAACAACTTTTCATTTCTAATAATTTAGAGTTACAAAAATAGGAAAAGAAGTTCTCACATACCCTCCCCCCTGAGAAAGTTAACATCTTGTATAACCACAGTTATCAAAATCAGGAAAAAAGCTTTGTCTTACTAACATACCATTTCGTGTTCAGGTATCTGTAATCATACAGTTAGGTCTCGGGCCTTCTTAGTCTTGAATAGTTTCTCGTCTTTTCTATCTTTTGCAACCTCAACTTTTTGAAAAGAGTATCCACCAACTATTCAGCACAGTGCCCTCAACTTCAGTTTGCTAATGTTTCTTCTGCAGTAAACCCAGGTTATGTGTTTTTTGGCAAGAATGCATCTATGTGACCCCTTGCATAGTTCCGGGAGTTTGGTCGATGTATGTCTTTACTGCTAATATTTCTTTCTATCACTTCCTTTAGGTGGTGTTTCTGGCCAGCTTTCTCTACCATGGAGTCACTGTTTTTCTTTGTAACTAGTCAGTATCTTGCAGGGGGAGACTGAGACTATGTAAATTTCCTGTTTCTCATCAGGCTTCTGCCCACTCTTTTTTAGTCCCTTGATGATTCCTCCTGAAGTAGTTGTTACTGCAGAGTTCGCCAGATGTTGATTGTCCTCTCTCCTGTATTTACTCGCTGGAGTTCCACCTCAAGGACGAGCTTTCCCTTCTCCCTCATTTGTTTGTTTACCTAACAGCGAACTCGAGGATTCTTTATTTTATTTATCATCCATTTAATGTATATCCTTTTCACAAACTCACAGGTTCCAAATATCGGTACAAAGGAGCCTACTGCTGCCACGACTTTCCACAGCCAGAAGAGTGTGTACACATCTGTATCTGTGGTTTCTGTGAGGGGCTTTGGCCAAGGAGGGAGACCCCTCCTCTTGCCTGAATATGTGCTGCTGTCAGAGTAGCTGTTGGAGGCCTCTCCGTGCTGGAGGGCAGATTTTGGAAAAGCTGGGTTGACCGGAGATGCACTGGACTGGGCTTCAAATGCTTGTAGGAGAACCAGAACATGGCTGACAGAAGGAGAACAGCAGCAGCTCCGAGAAAATTCTTTTTTATTTTTAAGACTTTATTTATTTATTTGACAGGTAGAGTTACAGAGGGAGGGAGAGACAGAGAGAAAGGTCTTTAATCTACTGATTCACTCCCCAAATGGCCACAGTGGCTGGAGCTGGGCCAGTCTGAAGCCAGAAGCTTCTTCCAGGCCACCTACTTGGGTGCAGGGGCCCATGCACTTTGGCCATCGTCTACTGCTTTCCCAGGCCTTTAGCAAGGAGCTGGATCGGAAGTAGAGCAGCTGAGACTCAAACCGGTACCCATATGGGATGCCAGTGCCACAGGCAGAGGCTTAACCTACTACTCTGCCACAGCTCTGGCCCCTATTTTTTGTTTTTAAAGACTTTATTTTAGTTATTTGAAAGGCAGAGTTACAGAGAGAGGTAGAGACAGAGAAAGAGGTCTTCCATTCGATGGTTCACTCCCCAGGTAGCCACAATGGCTGGAGCTGTGCCGATCTGAAGCCAGGAGCCAGGAGCTTCTTCCAGGTCTCCAATGTGGATGTTGGGGCCCAAAGACTTGGGCCATCTTCTACTGCTTTCCCAGGCCATAGCGGAGAGATGGATTGAAAGTGGAGCAGCCGGGACTTAAACTGGCGCCCATATGGGATGCTGGCACTGCAAGCAGCAGCTTTACCTGCGCTGCCATAGTGCTGGTCCCTGGCCCCTGTTTTATTTTCTAAATTGCTTCATATTTCTTATTAATATCCCAGAAGGGGCATTTGGCTTAGTGGTTGAAGCACCAATTAAAACATCTACTTCTAGATGGAGTGCCTGGATTCCATACCTGGTTCCTCTCCTGATTTCGGTTTCCTGCTAATGCTGAACCTAGGGAGCATAAGTGATGACTCAAGTAATTGAGTTTCTGCCACCTATGTGGGAGACATGGACTGAGTTCCCAGCTGCCAGCTTTCAGCCCAGCCCAAACCCAGCGATTGCAGGCATTTGGGGAGTGAATCAGCAAATGAGAGTTCATTTTCATTCTTTCTCTCTCTCTCTCTCTCTCTCTCTCCCTCTCCATCCCTCCCTCTCTCTCTCCCTCCCCTTTCTCTCTCCCTCCCCCTCCCTCTACACATTTCTTAAATACATGCATACAGATTTTTTACATGAACTTTATAAAATAGCTTAAAACAAGTGCTTTCAAAAAAGTTGCTTTGCTGTTGCTTGCCTTGTAAAGGCTGGTTTCCCTCCTCCTGTCAGCTGGACATGTGTGCAGCTACTGCACAGGGGGCAGTAGTTAGTGTCACTGTTTCATCCTTTGAGAGCACTGCCTTCTGCATTCACAAGTTTCCTCCCAGGAAGTTAGTAAGATGCCACTGAGAGTCAAGAGAAAGGGTCAGTTATTTGCTTGTACACATTAGCGGGTTTAAGAGTGACCCACCTGGCTCAAGCTCCATCTCCTCTTACCAATCCAGAATCTGATTTTAGAAAGACTTAGAAGCTATGGGGTCCAGGGTGTGAGGCGCACACCTGAGAAAAGCACGTCCTTCACAAAGCCTACCTGACCTGGAGAGCCGTTTTCCCACTCGCCATGCAGCCTTGCCTCATACAAAGTACATTCATTGTTCCTGGAGCCAGACCTCCTTCCTTAGGGAGTCTCCATTTCTCTACGAAAAATGCAGTGCTGGCCTCTCACCCTGCTGCTTGGCCTCCCTAGCATGTTTCCACGGCGCGAGGCGGGCAGCGGAAGCGACCCAGAGGAGAACTGCGTAGGTTGCACTGTTGTCGCTCCAGAGTAAGCAGAAAAGGCTTGAAGTTACAAAGAGAGTTAAAGAGCTCCATTTCCTCATCTGTCAAAGGAGAGAGTCAGACGGCCCTTTTGAAGTCATGGATCCTTGTAGGAACCCAGTGGAAATCCTCTTGTCAAAAAAGAGAAGGATTCCACATACACTCACACACAGTTTTGAGTATAATTTCAAGGAACTCCAGGAAACCCTTCCTCCCTTCAGTCAAAGAATCCTGAAGCTGAGGAAGCAACTCAGATGGGGACTAACGTTGTGCAAAACAGAACTCTTTCCGTCACACTGACTCACAGATCTGCGAAAGAGGATAGTCTCAGACCAGTCACAAACTCCATGTGACAGGGACGCAACACAGTACAGGGGAAAGAGCGTGGACCTGCATGCCAGACAGACCGGGATTTGCATCAGAGCTTTGCATGTACCAGTCTGAAGCCAGGAGCCAGATTTTTTGTCCTCTCTAGGGCAAGGTTAATAATGCCTACCTCCAGCCGGCGCCGTGGCTCAATAGGCTAATCCTCCACCTTGCGGCGCCGGCACACCGGGTTCTAGTCCCGGTTGGGGCGCCAGATTCTGTCCTGGTTGCCCCTCTTCCAGGCCAGCTCTCTGCTATGGCCAGGGAGTGCAGTGGAGGATGGCCCAGGTGCTTGGGCCCTGCACCCCATGGGAGACCAGGAAAAGCACCTGGCTCCTGGCTCCTGCCATCGGATCAGCGCGGTGCGCCGGCTGCAGCGGCGGCCATTGGAGGGTGAACCAACGGCAAAAGGAAGACCTTTCTCTCTCTGTCTCTCTCTCTCACTGTCCACTCTGCCTGTCAAAAAAAAAAAAAAAAAAATGCCTACCTCACAGACTCTGTGGTGAGGATGGAGAGGTGACATGCTGGACCTTGGCACACAGCAAATTGTACTCAAGAGCCGGGCCTGCCTAGGAGTTGGTCCTGCCCTACCCTCACTCTGATCATGTCTGAGGCCCTTATGGGGGTGTGTGGCCTTATCATTGTTTCAGCTTTCTGCTGGGCCTGGCATGGGTCCATCCCCTCATCTCCCCAGCTTTCCACCTGCCCAGGGGACATTCTGACAGCACTGACCCTAGCCAGAAGTGCAGCAGCAATAGAACTACAGAGCCAATACCCAGGGAAGGGGCAGGAAGTGGGAGCTCCAAGAACTACACAGGAAGCTCCTGTACATCCTTCACCCAGATCTCTCAGTTAACTGCTACCTTTCCCATCGCTCTCTCACACACACGTACACACACTTACACAAATGTGTTTCATTTTTACCATTAGAATTCTCAAACTATTATTCCTTAAAATATATATTATTCCTTATTTTCCAAAAACAAGGATACAGCCACATAACCACATAAAAAAGTAACATTAATCCAATCTTGCCATTTAATCAATCCAGGATTCATAGCTTACATTTATTTTTCCTCTTGTTCACCTTCAATCCAGAAGAATAACTTGTCTCTGTGTTGTGTGACCTTGAAATTTTTGAAGCTTATAGACCAGTAACTTTGTGGAATGTCTCTCAGTTTGAGTGTATCTGATGTTTCCTTGTGATTTATAATTGATGTGTAAATGATGCTGTATTCTTAGAAGTGCTTACCAGGGGCCAGCGCCGTGGCTCACTTGGCTAATCCTCCATCTGCGGCACTGGCACACCAGGTTCTAGTCCCGGTCAGGGCGCCGGATTCTGTCCCAGTTGCCCCTCTTCCAGGCCAGCTCTCTGCTGTGGCCAGGGAGTGCAGTGGAGGATGGCCCAGGTGCTTGGGCCCTGCACCCCATGGGAGACCAGGAAAAGCACCTGGCTCCTGGCTCCTGCCATCGGATCAGCGCGGTGCACCGGCTGCAGCGCGCCGGCCGCGGCGGGGAGTGAATCAGCAAATGAGAGTAAAGGAAGACCTTTCTCTCTGTCTCTCTCTCTCTCTCTCCCTCTCCATCCCTCCCTCTCTCTCTCCCTCCCCTTTCTCTCTCCCTCCCCCTCCCTCTACACATTTCTTAAATACATGCATACAGATTTTTTACATGAACTTTATAAAATAGCTTAAAACAAGTGCTTTCAAAAAAGTTGCTTTGCTGTTGCTTGCCTTGTAAAGGCTGGTTTCCCTCCTCCTGTCAGCTGGACATGTGTGCAGCTACTGCACAGGGGGCAGTAGTTAGTGTCACTGTTTCATCCTTTGAGAGCACTGCCTTCTGCATTCACAAGTTTCCTCCCAGGAAGTTAGTAAGATGCCACTGAGAGTCAAGAGAAAGGGTCAGTTATTTGCTTGTACACATTAGCGGGTTTAAGAGTGACCCACCTGGCTCAAGCTCCATCTCCTCTTACCAATCCAGAATCTGATTTTAGAAAGACTTAGAAGCTATGGGGTCCAGGGTGTGAGGCGCACACCTGAGAAAAGCACGTCCTTCACAAAGCCTACCTGACCTGGAGAGCCGTTTTCCCACTCGCCATGCA